AAGTACAAAGAAAAAAAAAAAAAAACACAAAGGAAGACTCCATCTCAAAAAAAAAAAAACGTCCATCCGAGAACTCCCTAAGATCACCTTGCATACTACTAGGGAACAGTATATATTGACATCTGGAGGAAGCTTGGTCTATAGAACAAAATTCCAAATGCCTTGGCATAGCATTTAAGGGTCCCTGGTGATCTTTTCCATAACCCCCAGGCAGGAAAACCCTGCTCCACTGCTATAGCTCCCACCTCTCCAAAACCCAGCCCAAATGCAAGCTCTTCAAGGAGCCCGTGATGTGCCCCCACACACAACCCGAGTCGAGTCTCCTTCCCGGGACAGTTCCTTTGATATGGCTTGACACTTAGTCCATTACAGATCTCTCTTCTACAAGTCCTGGAGGGCAAAAACCACTTTCAATTCAGTCTTGTATCCACCTAGATAAAAGGTGGATCCTCCAGCCAATGTTTGCTGACTGATCCCCATGGTCTGGCCACCTTACCCATGCCCCCCTCGAGCAGCAAACATCTCGTGGAAAGGGAACTGGCGGTGCAGGTCCTTCTCAATCACATCCAGCCACTTGGGGTCCCCAGGAGCCCGTTCCAGCTCCTGCAGTGGGACAGCGGGGATTACCTCAGGATCTGGGGGAACTGATACCCCTTGCACAGACAGGGCCACATGTCCCCACACCCTGGAGCTGCACGCACCTCAAACTTTCCTGGGTTCTGCTCCAGAAGTTCCTTGCTATTAGACAGGTACTGCCAGGCCTTGGCTCTGAGAGATGAGGGGATCCCCTTCCGGCAGCGCAGCTTCACCTAAGGCAAAGTGGCAGGAGGGGGACAGCTTCAAGGGCCGGCACAGCCTCCAAGCTTTCCCTAGCAGTCCACAGGCTCCCTGGATACTCCCCCCACATCCCATAGGCTTGATTCCACTGGACCTGGCCTGGCCTTCAATTTTTAAAGCCATTCGCCCGCCAGGGCCCATCTATCCCTAGTGTGGTCCAGAGGGCAGATATTATCAGCTTCCTGGGCTTCCCTGGAGCACACACCGCCCCTCCCAACTTGTGCATTGCCCTGCCCACCATTCAGCCCTCAAACCTTCTGGAATCGCCGTGACAGCCACTTATCCCAGTTACTGAACATGTCCAGCCATTTGAGCTCCCGCTGCCGAGCCACGTCCACGGGAATGGAGCTCTCTCTGCAGGGTGCGGGGAGCACAGAAGGGGTCAGTAGCAATAGGGTAAAACCTGCATTGCAGGTGGAACTGAGGCGAGCCACCTCCCCAAGTTCAAACGAGAAACTGGATAGTCTGTGAGCTACCAAACATCAGGATGTCTGGCCACTTGGTCATCCCAAGGCACACTGAAAGGCCTTCCCTTCCCTGATGGATCTCTATTCAGAGGTCATATTTAAATCTCACTTCTGACACATCCAAATCTGGGGAGAGAGTATGGAGTATTTTGTTTGTTTGTTTGTTTGTTTTTTAGACGGAGTCACGCTCTGTCGCCCAGGCTGGAGTGCAGTGGCTGGATCTCAGCTCACTGCAAGCTCCGCCTCCCAGGTTTACGCCATTCTCCTGCTTCAGCCTCCCGAGAAGCTGTGACTACAGGCACCCGCCACCTCGCCTAGCTAGTTTTTTGTATTTTTTAGTAGAGATGGGGTTTCACCGTGTTAGA